CCAGTGACGATGCGAGTGCCGTCCGGCGAGAACGAGACCGAGTTTACTGAATCAGTGTGCCCCCGCAAGGCTCACCGACTGGCTCCCCCGTCCCTGCATCCCACAGCCGAACAGTGTTATCGTACGAACCAGTGACAATGCGAGTGCCGTCCGGCGAGAACGAGACCGAGTTTACTGAAGAAGTGTGCCCCCGCAAGGGCTCACCGACTGGCTCCCCCGTCCCTGCATCCCACAGCCGAACAGTCATATCCCAAGAACCAGTGACGATGCGAGTGCCGTCCGGCAAGAACGACCGAGGTTACCCAAAAGTGTGCCCCCTGAGCACGGCCTGAACAGCTGGCCAATTCATATCACGTGCACATGCTACACGAAGAGTATTCGGAAACCGTGCAAAAAACTTTCTCGATAGCGGACAGTTGGCAGGCGAGAATGGGAGTGCTGATACATACAGGTGTGGCGTGCTGTGCAAAATCATCCCGCCGAAGACTTGAATGAACCTTTGTACGTCCATTGCAGTCGAGGAGACATCTTTGAATTTAGGATGGCCCTGTGGTTGCGCATGAGCGCATTATCTGGCACTTGGTAGCAATGTACTCACCTTTAGCCACTGGGCAATGGGCGGAAGGGCACCGACTGCACCGCTCAGCGCTTTGGTCAGGGCGAGTGACTCGAGCCAGAAAAACACCCGCTCGTGGTCGAATAACAATTTCACTTCTTCCGCGAGTTCCTCGTCAAAGGTTGTGGTTCGTACGTGTGACGTCCAAATCGAGATGAATATGACAGATGTAAGGGGATGCATTTTTGCACTCGTTCTGGTAGACCGCGATCTTCACTATTAGGTAGATACGACGACTTTAAATCACAGATGTTGAAGCGAAGACCCGCTTTCATCACTCGAAGTGATGCAAATGCAAGGTCGCACTGCGCCTTTGACAGGTCGATGAAAAACTCTCCACTGGATGGTTGGTCCGTCAGGAAATCGTGGAAGGATGCATGAAGGGGTCGGATTGGAGAATCTGAGTTGGTGGTGCCGCTGAGGAGGGAGCCCATGCTTTTTACTACAAGCTCGACGTCGAAAATATCCTCCGGTGTTGGAAAATGGCGCCTCATGGCATTCAGGGAAGCTAAAGGAAGCGGTTCAGCTGTGCCTAGTATTTGTCCCATTACTGAGCGAAATCTCGCTAGCTTCGTCGAACGCAGTTTCGCCGAATGCTGCATATGGGTAGATGTATCCCTAGGCATGATATTTGTTAAAATGAGGAGATACATCTCGTGCAACAGCCTGCTTCTCTCAGCAGGATCGCGTGACACCACACCATTGTAGCATTCGATTGGAGATAGCCCCATGTCAGACTCTTTGATGTATCCGCAGGCGAGACGCGCCCACTCGAAAAGTCCATCAGCTTTCTCAGCGAGGACTGCGAACTCTCTACCATGGAAACCCAGCCCTTCCAACTCCTTGGATACATAAGCACGGATGTCGCGCCCTGCTTCTTCTCGTGGAATATCATCCATCAACATTTGTCGAATGTGCTGAACACCACGAAATTCGTCATTGATGTCACCAAGCGGGCGAGAAGTAACAATGAAGCGGAAGTTATCTGGGAGGTCTGTGATTTTGGGAACGTCAGGGTTTCGATGTTTGCCAGCTAGAATGCGGAGGAGGCCTTTCCGAGTCTCTACTCCACCGCTCTCGTCCAGTGCATCGATCACGATCACGATAGGTTCTCCAGTTGACCCAGATGACTTCTCCAGTGGTTCGATAAGGACTTTCTGCCACTGCTGGGTGATATCCGTTGTCTTCTTAAGCGAATTTGCAGTCTTGACTGCATCTGCCAATGCCCGCCTCATCTCCGGATCACGGTCAGCTAGGTCGAGCGCGATCGTGGAAAATCTTTTCATGGCGACGATCTGCTTCTCGCTGGCGGTCAAAACAGTAACACGAACCAAGCCCTCCCACGTCATTGACCCACTTAGCAACGGTGTGGGCGATGGCCGATTTGCCCTTGCCTGCAGGGCCGGATAGCCACAGCACGCGTTTGAACATTGTCCCCAGTGCTGTTGACCCATTCGATGATGTCGGAAAGGATTTCCGTGCGGGTCCCTTCGAGGCATTCTTTTCCGGTATCTAGTCCGGCGCCATCTGCATAAGTCATACCGCTGAGGTCCAATGTTTCTTCTGAAAAGATATGAGTATATGTCAAGTCACAAGGACGTCCGACCCTTACCCATACGGTGGACGCGTGTGCTTATGTCGTGGACGCCTATGGCTACGTCGCGAGTAACCTGGTCCCGGAAGTTTTGCATGAGGCTATCGAATACGTCATTGTACTTTTGGATCGTATCTTTCGTTTCCGAGATAATGTTCTTTCTAAGTCTGTTCCCTGTGATGATGGTAGAAGCTCGAGACGGTACAGAGCGCAACAGCTTGTTAAGACTCACAAAAGTTCTTGGTCTCCGAATAATTTTTGATAAAATGGGCACATTCACGGGTCTGCTGAGAAATCTTGCCAAGGATGTTGCGCATCGACGAGAGTTGTCCAAGCATGTCGTCTCGTGTTATGAAGCGGTAAACATCACATATCTTCTTGAGAAGTTTGAATACCGCTGCGTCGCGATCCGCTTGGGCTAGAATAATCTGTACCAATGATTGCTGAGCGGTGGGAGATAGCAGGAGATAAGAGAAAACATACTTTGGCGCGCAAGACAACACGCCTAGTGCCATCTTTGCATATGGATGTAACTGTGGGGTGTGATTAGTTCGGTTACGATCGAGAGGAATCCATACATCTGCGATCTTGCCGATAACATTGTCAAATATTCTGAGGGGTTCAATATGTGTCCTGGAAATTGTCAACAGCATCGAGATCCTCTTGTCCGCCTTGGCCAACAGACGCCACAGTAATCACAGGTCCCGCAAGCGGATGCATGCGCTTTTAGACTCTTGTGCATCCCGAAGTTCCAATTGGGTATCAGTCACTTCCACAGCAGATGAAGCCGCCTGAACTCGCGGACCATCAGGATTTAGAAAGAGCGCAGAGACTGGAGGGCAAGTATGAGAACGTACCGAGGTCGATGAAGCACCTTCATGATTAACATTCGGGGAACGGGGCTGCGGCTGCGTGAATCCTTCGAGCGCTTATGGTAAAATATTAGTCACATTCTAAGACACTCATTACGCATGGTCGTGGACTTACCGAGATCCTTAACTTGTCCTTAACCTTCTTCAGAAACCGACCAACTCTGCCACGGGGTCGGTGCTAGACGAAGGATGCGTCAATGACAGTGTTTGGAATGGAATGAACTAAGTGATGCCGATAAGCCACGCACCGAGCCTCCAGGAGCTAATGCTTCGCTAGATGTGCGGGTTTGTTGAGTCGAATTCCTCGATGAATTGCGTTGGTCATTGTGAATAGCGGTTGAAGCGAAGTAAGTTAAGAGACCCACATCATTTATATAAAATAGCCAATAACGCCTCGAGGCAATATTTGTTGCAAGCGTTAAACGATAAGCATTTGAATTTCGAGTGCGTTCTTGAATCTTCTGGCATGCACGGTCGAAGGTGATTGTGACAAAAATAGCCTCGGCAGTGCTTATCCAAACGCCCAACGCGCAATGCCCAATGCCCAACCTCGTGACCGAAATGAATATACCGAAAGTAAGCTCCAGAAACCGACCAAGGTCGGTGCTAGACGAAGGATGGATTAATGTCGTGGAGTGAGTTCAGTGCACGTACGAACTTTCACCATGGCTGGTGCTTTGCTAGATTTCTTGGTTTGTTGATTCGAACCCTTCGATGATGTCATTGTGAATAATGTACAGTTGAAGCAAGTAAGATAAGAGTCCCGCCTCGAGGCATATCGTTGCAAGCGATAATTATAAGCATTAATATTGGAACCCAGTGAAAATCGACAAGAATGAGGTAGATACGTGCCGATAGATGTCTAAGTACAAAATGAGATGGATACAAATCTAAGAAATTCGAGAAGGCAAAACTCTAATTTTGTGCAAACGCAAAGAATCTTTCCAAAGGTGAAAAGATGCAAACATGTCGGACTTCGATTGCGTAGTTTGCAACTTTGCGACAAATTTTGCACCTGCGTGCATTCGATGCACGTGTATTTTGCACAAGTCCATAACCGTATTTGCATTAATTAATGATGTTTATTCACTGCGGAAGTGAGAAACTGATCAGACCTGAAAAGGGTAGGAAAGACGTTGTAAATAGTATGTAATCCGACTAGCAATTAATATAAATTCCGAGGTGTTAGAATCTGGAGAGATCCTCAAATCGGATCATTTTCCGACATAAACATAGAGGTTTGCGGAGGTGCACAGAATTAATAAAACCTAACCACACGTCTGATTTGCGTCTGAATACGATCATATTTAGTCGGATTAGTATCTAGTTACAAAAGTGCGGATCCCTATGATTCTGGGGATTTGCCAGCTTCTGGGCGCTTCGCACTGGCTTTTCCCCATCCCCCTCGACCCCTCGTTCGCCTAACGATGTACAGGGCCAGCGCCGCCCTAGCGGTGCTCCAGAAAATCAGCCAACGATCGAAACGAACATGAATCCATACCAGTTTGGTTCCCCAGCCCACGACTCAACACGAGTCCATACCAGTTCCCGTCCCAGCTACCTCCTGGAACCCTGCTATCGAATGCTGGGGGTCATCCGCTGCCCCAGGTGGATGATTTCTTCAGTCGACCGCCTCAGGCTGAAGCAGCAAAGCCGCCGGCGCAAGAATATCGAACACCGTCCAATATAATGCGTCCCCTAGCGTAACGCAAAACTTAGTCACTCCGTCGTTTCAGGGAGGGACTCCATACCTGGGACACAGCTCTCGCACTCCGTTCACGGGCAGCGAGTCCTCCGGGTCTCGCGCACCCTCTCTGGGACCTGGAGGAGACTATGGTCAGCTTTCGGGTCCTGCACATCATCAGCCCCATATAACATAAAATCGGGCCTTGTTCCCCTGCTCTGTATGCCCATGACCTCATGCTATGGTATCATCGACGAGAGAAGTTTGAGCTAGGTCGTTCAACTGATAGATAATATTGAGTGCCAATATCGCAGACAGAGGAACAAACTTACAGCCTTCTTGGCCTTGTACCAGTGGGTGAACTCTGCCGGAGTCTCTTTCTCCGTGTCGCTACTATCAAAGGTCTCTTCTGTATCGATCCTTGCCACAATTCCAGCTGCAGACTTCTTCCAAGCATATTAGTTAGTATGATTATAGCTACAAGGATGCGTAGTACTTACTTTAATTTCTGGGCCTCTTGCCAGCGCATGACTTGAAGTCGGTCAGGAGTTTCGGGTGAGGTCGCGCTGAGGTCGACATGTTCAGGAACTTGTAGTAATCTGGGCCGCTTGGTGGGCCATCTGAGCGTGATTTCGACTGTCTACAAAGGTACTTAGTTAGTTGGTTGTATTTAAATCTAAAACTTACCATAGGCCCTGGCCGCTTGGTTTCAAAGGTAAAACTGAATGCCTGTAGTTTCGAAGGTAGTTCAAGCTTGATCTTATCTGCATCGTCCGACATAGTGCGAGTTAACGATGGACTTAGAGAAATTTTTCGAAAAACATACCTCACTTAAATCCAATCGTATGCAGACGTCGAAAGAGTGGATTTCCCGGGTCAGTTAGTGTTGGAACAGCAAGTATTTGAAGAGAATAACGGACGTCGGAAAAGCATGGTGGCGAAGTCCGAAAAGCATCTGTTTACGTTTGTAGCTGTGGACCAAATGAAGGCTTTGCTTCAAAATCTATGATACGTCGGATTTGCGTCGGATTAACAGCTAGGTACGTTTTGTGTCTGCTCACTTGCCCTTTCTCCCCGGAATATGGTCTGATCAGTTTCTCACTTCCGCAGTGATTGGAGTCCTAGTACAGTTGAACCACTCACATCTTCTCATCTGCCCACCATGTCATTCGCCCCCCCGCTGCGACACCGAGTCCAGCTCGATATGACCATTCCCTTGTGTTGCTAGCACAACACGACAATCGCAAGCCCAGGGCGGCGAGCAGTTATTTCGCTTAATGTGACTGCCAGTGTTGTCCTTGAGGAGAGGAACTCAGTCCTTGCTAGTTCTTCGTGCCTCTCCCTTATGTTTCCTTGGTCACTGGTCTTTCTATCACACTGATCAATCTCTCTCTACTCACTCACTCATGCAGTGAGTATACGAGCTCAGTGGACTTATGATAGTCACTATATTGATTGTATATACCTGCAGTGAGTATACGAGCTGCAGAAGGCATTAGCTAAGTGCGAGATATCTAAGTATCCTGTACTGACCTCAGTGGACTTATGATAGTCACTGAGGAAGTTCTACTAGCTGCGAGGAAATGAAACAAAGGAACGTGCTTATGTAATGTAGCTAATATGGACGAGCGAAGTTAGAGTCCAACACTCCCCTTCAAACTGAGCAAAGTCCAAGAGCGGAGGCGAAGTGTTTGACCTTGAGACTAGGTAGAGCTTTGGTAAGTGTATCTGCAGTCATACTATCTGTAGGGCAATAAACGAGTGAAATAGAACCTTTTCAAGAGAGAAACGAATAAAATGGTAACGAATGTCAATGTGTTTCGTTCGGGCGTGAAACGCGCCAGAATTCGCGAGGGCGATAGCGGATTGGTTGTCGCAATGAAGGACGGTTGGTTGGTCGAGGGGACGGAAGATTTCGGTGAGGAAACGCCTAAGCCAAATGGCTTCCTTTGCAGCGTGCGTCGCTGCGACATACTCGGCCTCAGTCGTTGAGAGAGTTAAAACTCTTGCTTCTTCGAGCTCCAGGACACTGCGCCGCCGTCCAAGAGGAATGCGTAGCCAGATATGGCATGCCGATGCTCTTGTGAGGCGCCGTCTGCGTCAGTAAAGCCCTCAAGGCCTTGCTTGCAGGTCCCAAAGGTGAGTGCGAGTTTCTTCGTCCCTACGAGGTAGCGATAGATTCGCTTTACAGCCTCCCAATGAGCCATACCTGGGTTAGCTCCATACTGCGCGACAGTCGATATGGCAAAAGCTATGTCGGGGCGTGTACCGACGGCTAGGTGCATGAGTGAGCCGACTGCCTCTCGATAGGGGATGTTCTTCATTAGCGTGGTTTCAGCTGGAGTCTTAGGGCATTGGGATGCGAGAGCGGAGCGTTTGGATCCATTGGAATGGAGCAAGGTTTCAGATCTGTGAAATTATATTTGGCGAGGATAGAGTCGACGTATGATTCATGGGAGAAGGAGATGGTACGTGTAAGACGGTCGCGGATGACCTTCATTCCAAGTAGAAATGCGATAGGCCCTAGATCAGTGAGTTTGTAGTGCGACGCTACGTCTCGCTTGAACTCTGCAATGAGCTTGTTGTTGCTGCCAGTTACTGCGCATCGTCAACGTGTGATGCAAGAATTAAGATCCGTGCCTGTATGCTTGTAGAAAACTCCCCAGTCTGATTCTGCGCGCATCATCCCTAAACTCTTCAACAAGCGACACAACTCCTGATACCACTTCAAAGCTCCCTGTTTCGATCCGTAGAGTGCGACGTGTAACAATGCGACAGGACGTTTGAACTTCTTGTCGACGCTGAGTCCAGGTGGGAGTTCCATGTAAATAATTTCGTCCCTTGTCAAGTTTACCGTTTAGGAAGGCAACTGTGGAAGTCGAAGACGTCGATATTCCAATCGTTACGTGCGGCTATAGCGAGGATGTTCGGAGAGATGCGAGGCGTGCGACTGGTGCGTAAGTGTCATAGTAATCAACACCATACACTTGAGAATAACCCTTGGCTACCGCCGGGCTTTGTACTTACGATCTCCCCATCCACATTCCATTTGATTCGGAATACCCACTTACATCCCACTACATTGACGTTTTGCTGGCTGCTCAACGACGGACCACTTGCGGGCATCTTCGAGTGCGGTAAGTTCCTTGTTGATTGCTTCTTCCCACTTTGGCCAATCTGTTCTTTTGCAGGCTTCTTTAGACTGTAGTCGGGTCGCTGCTCTCGATTGCCGCTACTCCCGCCATCATGGCGAAGACTTCATCATCCTGGTCCATCTCTCCATCCTCCCCTACCATCCCGAGCTCTGCCACCAAGTTAGATTCTGCGGGAGCAGGCTGCATCCCACGAGGTAAGTCCGTGCTCCTTCCATCAGTCGTTCCTGCGCCATCGCACAGACTCTTGATGTATGCTGATTCGACTCTCACTCGTCCAGAACGGCGCGGCTGCTCAGTTCGCTCAAACTGCGTGCCCAGGTAGTCTCTAGGAGGAGGAATGGGTTATGGGGTGGGGTTGGCATTGCTGGGTGGGATATTATTGGTGCGTGATGCTCGGCTTGATGATTCGTTGGGTACTGAACCGACATCATGGACTTGTACCGTGCGGTGTTCCGGTTCTCCTGGTTTAGGTACTAGACCGGCATCATGGACTCGTACCGTGCGGTGGTCTGGACCGACATCATGGACTCGTACGTGCGGTGGTCTGGACCGACATCATGGACTCGTACCGTGCGGTGGTCTAGTCCTCCTATAGGTATTCTAACCTCTGCCGTGTCGAATTTGACGCTCCTCTCCACAGCTATCCGTCGAGTTTCGGGTAGGTATACTCGGTGACCATTGCTGTCACGATCAAATCCCATCCACCTGCCATCTATGGCGCGCATATCGAGCTTGGAGCCGTTCGTCGAGTGCACCTTGACGTGGCTACCCCAGACTGGTAAGTGCTTTAAGTTTGGCGCCTTCTTATACAGCATCTCATATGGCGTCTTGTTGTCTAGGACACGAGTTGCCGTCCGGTTCTTCAACCAGGTGACGTGCATGATGGCCTCCCCCCATAGGAATTTGGGTACATCAGTAAATCACTAAACCTTCACAGACTTTGGCTTTTCACACAGATTCTCACAGTGTGACAGACATCACAGAATCCCAGGATCCCAGAGCCACAGACTTACAGATTCTCACAGTGTGCTACAGACTCACAGAATCCACAGAATAAATGACAAAATTTTCACTAAGTCTTTTCTTTAGTTAAACATCAACACTAAGCCTTATTGTAACTAAAGCTTAAAAATTCATTGTTAGGACAAAAGTGCTAAACCTATTGACTAATTAAAACTTGTTGGAATTCACAAAATTTTACACTTTGTACTAGTAAACCTCCAACTTGAAGTTTTCTAGTCAAAAATAAGGATTAGTTTTTTTGAAGATTTCAATAAGGGCAAGTTATGTTGAGGTTTGACTATAGATTTCAATAAGAGCAAGTTATAATGGGGTTTGACTATAGATTTCAACTTGACAATATTGAGGCTTGAGAATCATTGGTATATGTATCATTGTGAGAGAGGAAAAGTAAAGACACTATGGTGTAATGGTAAGTTTTGTTATTGTTGTTGCTGAACTTTGTGAAGCCTCAAGTTCAATTCCTGCCAATGACACTTGAAAATGTCAAAATGCGAATTTATTTTGTTCTATTTACTAGGCAATGCTTTGTCACTGTGAGTTCTGTGGCTCTGCTGGGAGTTCTGTACAGAGCTGCACAGAAAAGATGTAGCTGGACAGGGACCAAGCTGTGGCACTGTGACACTGTACAGCTCTGTACAGCTCTACACAGAACATTGTAATTTACTGATGTAGTTCACTGGCGTGCAACAGCGCACGCGTTCGCTCGGAGACGGTTCTGTTGAGTCTCTCCGCAACTCCGTTGTGCTCACTCGTATAATACGGAGATATGTTACTGCAATATGTGGAGATAACGAGTGAACTCTTGCCCAGTGAATTCTCCCCCTCGGTCAGAGCGAAATCGTTTGATTTTTGCGTCAAACTGCGTGTTTGCCCAGGCTTCGAAGAACTTGTATGCGCTGAAGGCTTCGTCCTTCGTGCGCAGCAGGTACAGGTGAGTGAATCGCGTGAAGTCATCTGTGAATGACACGAAGTACTCTTTATGCCCAGGTGTTCGTATGGGAGATGGACCCCACAGGTCGCTATGGACTTCATCGCCAAACTTCTCCCGTCTCGGAGGGTCGCGGATTTTGCCAATTGGTTTGCAGGTGGCTTTTGCGTACTCGCAAGAGTCGCACTTGTCCATCGTTGCGTCTGAGGGATCTAGCTTGATTCCAGTGATGACACCATCGCGTATCATCCTTGCGATGCTGTCCGGGGAGATATGGCCAAGTCTGGCGTGTACTTCACGCATGGTGAGTGTTTCATCTGCATTTGCGAGTCCAGCAAATAACTTCCTGGGGCCCTTGACGCAGTATAGTCCTTTTGAGACTGGGACCTCCCCCAATAGCTTCTTCGTATCACTGAAGATCTTGCAAGAGTTCGCGCGGAACAATGCAGCATATCCGGCTGCCGTGAGACGACTGATGGAGACCAAGGTTACGCCCATCTTAGGTGCGTATAGAACGTCTTTGAGGAGTATTCGCGTGTTTGACTCGCCGTTTGGTAGGGTGATCATGATGTCCCCTTTGCCTGTTGCCTCGAAGGTATGTTTGTCTGCTGTTGTTATGGGTTTCGGCGTGATGTTGACGAAATCTTGGAACAGATCGCGATAGGACGACATATGTCTCGATGCTCCTGAGTCGAGCAACTCGGTTCGAGATTCGCGTTGGGAGTTTGAGTTTGCTAGGGTTGCATAGGTGAATGACGTCTGCTCTTCTCCCGTCTCATCTGTATCATCCATTAACCAGACACCTTCAGGTTTGTCATCTTCCTCATTGTCCTTTGCCTTCGCGGCAGTCTCGGGTTTTCTGTCCTTCCCTTTTCCAAAGGACTTCTCCCCTGATTTGCTCCCTGCTGCACCTCCTCCTGCGCCTCTGCAGTCTCGCTGCATGTGGCCGTACTTGCCACAGTTGTGGCAGTTCCCCTTGATTCGACGAGTCCGTTTGCCAGCATTCGCATTGTAGGCTGCATCATCGTTCGATGAGCTCCCCTTCTTTGTCTTGGCTGCTTGACGGTCGTATTCGTCTACGATTGTCGACATCAATATGTCTGCGGTGAGTTGAATGCTTGAGACTTTAGCGGAAGCTGTCAATGCTGACAAGTGGGGGTCGTATGATGCAGGTAGCGAGCTCATGATGATTGCCGTGAAGCTTTCATCTGTTGGGGCATGGCCTAGTGAGGACAGTTGCTCGCGAATCGTTCGCAGCTTGTCGAAGTGTTCTCTAATATTGCCTTTTTCAGAGCATTTTTGGTCCTGTAGCTTCCGCAACAGTTCAACTGAGACTACGCGAGAGCGCTTCTCAAAGAGATTCGAAAGGTACGTGAAAATCTCTTGCGCTGTATCCAAGTTCTTGACTTGAATAAACAAAGAGTCAGGGATCGTGCTGGCAATTTGCTGCTTCGTTATTGCCTCGCCCATGCGCCACTCCTTCATTGCTGTCTTGTATGCGGCGAGTTCTCTGACCTCGTCCATCGTACTTGGTGACCATGATGCTCCTCTGCCCGACAACGTCGAGGGATCAACTGGTTTCTTCTCGGTCCCGTCTAGGTGACTGAGGAACCCACGAGCGTCTACTGACCATTGCATTCTGTCTTTATAGGTCGTCCAATTTTCTCCGTCCGCAGTGAGCTTTGGGACGCGTAGAAAATCTTCACCGAGTTTGCTGTTAGAGCTGGACATGGTGGGCTATATTTTTCGTATACTTGGTCATGTTTTTAATTGACGAGCGCAGGGCTCATAACCTGCAGTGAGTATACGAGCTCAGTGGACTTATGATAGTCACTGTATTGATTGTATATACCTGCAGTGAGTATACGAGTTGCAGAAGGCATTAGCTAAGTGCGAGATATCTAAGTATTCTGTACTGACCTCAGTGGACTTATGATAGTCACTGAGGAAGTTCTACTAGCTGCGAGGAAATGAAACAAAGGAACGTGCTTATGTAATGTAGCTAATATGGACGAGCGAAGTTAGAGTCCAACACGGAGATCCTACTGATAAAGAGTTCAATCTGCAGGAGACGTTGACATGTCAGAACATGTCTTGCTTATTCATGGTGACTTACTCACCAAGGAACGGCCCCGACACAGTTCGCGATACACGGAGAATCGAGAGCACACCAAAAAAACCGATTCCAGTACATCATCTTCCTGCCAGGGTTGTTTCACTACAAAATGGCATGCGCCGATGCAATATGGAGGACATACCTTCAAGCTAAAGAAGGCCGAGATGACCCGAACAGCATGTTCCAACATGTAGGCATCTTGCGACCACAAGAAACAGGGCGCATATCCATGAAACCTGGTTTTAGACGCATGCATGACGTCATACACTATGACCTGCATGCTTCAATTCTCGAGTGCTGGCACCTTGAAGCACAGTCGAGAGAGCCAGTTGAATGGCAAACATTAGAGAAGTTCGGAAAGTCGGACTTGGAGTGGGATCAGCTCATGGAGATGTCTGAAGCAATTGTCAACAAGTATGTCGCAACAACAGACAAGCTTGGTGACCTACGCGCCAGACCAGTTAGTGAACGGGACAAACAATTTGAAAACCAATGTCTTCGGAATTGGGATCAGTTACTCTACATAGATCTCTGCCAGGCCATGAATGCTGGGGACATCGGATGAGTCGAGGCATCTTTCCTGCCGTGGATCTATATATTTTGTGCGACTGGCAAGCATAAGTATGCGGCGCAAATCAACAAGTTTTCAATGAACTTACGAAGTGTATATCCCCAAGACCTGTGGTGAGCAAACTGTACCATTGCGCCCTGAAATCAACACATTAATCACAATGAGACAGTCGCATAATACGTCTCAACTTACTTTGCAATCCTACAGGAAAACCCAATGCATTTCGAGCTGTGGATTGGTTAGTAGAGCAAAACAATCTCTGCACAAAGGTGCGGACTTTGATGGTGATATCAGTGTGTTGCATCCTCAGGTATGCGGCAGGTCATCTTTGCAGGTACAGGTCCAAACTGCACAATTGACCACATCATCAAACAGTCACCATTGATTGAGGTGTTCCGCAACTGCCACGTCATCATGGAGAACGCGGTTTACCTGAAAAATCGAACCATCCGGCACACACACCCAGACATGGCAGCCACCATTGAGAAACTTCGATCGCATATCCAGTCAACATCGTCGTATATGATATCACAAAACAGGAGTGCAAAGCGAATTATAGAAGACCAGATTGCGGTTGGGATGAAGCTGATACAACAGAAAAAAGTTAGCCTAACAATGTCCAGTGAAGACTGCTATGAAGCAGAGGCGGAGGATTTCAATAACTAACCTGCAGATGGTACCACATTTTCATCATTCAACCTGCTACCTCTTTGCTGCTTAGGTACATACTTTGGACAGAGACGGTTTGATGCTAGAACACAGTTCAGTAGATGCATGAGTATGAAGACACAATGAACTCACCAATATGCCCCGCCTGACCACATGCACGGCACGTTGTCGGTTTTTTTTGACGTGGTGGCTTGTTCGAGGGAAGTGCGTTGATATCAAGGTTGGTTGGAAAGGTAGTTGCGATAGAGGGTGGTGCATTGTCAGCAGAAGAACGCAGGTAGTACTTTTGGATGATGTTGAATATTTGAGAGCCCCACCAGTCACAGTAGCGCCAGCTAGCTTGATCGCGAATCAAGGAAACTCCATCAATCTTGCGGGAATGCGCTAAATCAACGATGTGGTTGAAAATTTCATCGGCCATTATCAGTTGCACGCCAAAAAAGTCATCTCCACCTGCACCAATCTCTATCAGCCGCTCTCTTCGCCACTCCTGCAGTTCAGCTCTCAATACAAAGTCTCCAGGGCCCATTTGATAGTCGGGTATTTTGAGTGTATTCGGTGCTTGGGTTTGCTTAGGCGCTTGTGTGGTGGGTGCAGGAAGGATGAAGGAGCCAATGTGACACGAGTCGCCGCATAGGCGGGAAGGTTTGATAATACACCGTGCACAGTTGGGATGACACACCAGTGATCTGCTGCTGGCATCTATACAATTGTTAATGAACAATGGAAGCGGTTACATACGTTAGGTACATACTCAGACTGATCCCAGCGATCTGGGGATTGTCAAAATATTCATTTGAGACATTGCGACGGCAGAATCCACAAGCTCGAGCATTGATGTAGGCATCCATTGCAGCAGCCTCGTACTCTTCGTCATTGAGATCCTTCGAAACAATCCTCTGAATAGCGTGTTGCGGATTTCTCACATCCTCGCCACCTTCCGTCCGATTCCCAACACTTGGCACTTCTTGTGCAATACTTGTTGATTTGTGCTTTTTTGGGAACCTCCGCCACCATCGTCGACCTGTTTTCGTTTTGCGGTGCGTGCATTGGCTCTTTCTCTTGCCTTCTCTTTCTGATAATCAATGTACTGTGGCTCAACTAGATAAATCCCAGTTGCCTCTGTAGAGATATCTCGCGCTGCTCTGCCTAAGCGTTGCCAAAGCGTGCAAAGTGACGAGGTGTATTTCCACTGGATTACTAACGCAATGTCACGAAGGTCTAGGCCCTGTAAGGTATGAGCTTTGCACATATATTTTAATGTAATGACTGACCATACCAGCCGCATCTGTGCAGAAGATACCCCATATCTCCCCCTTCCGAAGGTTCTCAATCGTCTCAGCTCGAAAATCAGTACTCATGCCTGAATGAAACCAGACCAGCTTTTTAGCCACAGTAGGTGGTGCTTCTGACCGTGCAAATTCGCATAATCGCTCTGTCTCTTTGCGCTCATTGCAAAATACCATGAATTTGGGGGGAGGTGGGTCACCATTGAACTTGAGGACACATTTTAGGTCATGCATACTGTTTAAAGGGTCCAGCATCTCGATAACCATTAAGTGGATGTTCGGGGCGGTCATTGGTGCGTCGTGCTTCTGTTGTTCGATGGTCCTGCATGTGTAGGATGGACTTAACATCATGCAGGACATGTCGTGGCAGTGTGGCAGATGCTACATGAAACACAACGTGTGGAGGGACTAGCCAACGAAGTCGACCGAGCTCAGCATAGGAAGGGCGAAAGTCACCCACCCCATTGACTAATGCAATGCGCCTCGTCAAAGGTGATGCTGAAGAGTTTGTTGATGAATTGGGGTGTCTTCCACAAGGTATCGAAGCGACGGTCTGACAGAATTCTCTCGGGGCTAACAATTATGACCCGAAACTTTCGGGTGGCAATTTCCTGTTTGATGTACAAGGTAAGTCATAAGATTTGAGCTTTAAATTATATCTCACCTTGAATATGCTGTCTGTGGCTGTTGCAGCAGACAGATTCACAACAGGTATATTGACTTCTTGTAGCTCGATGACATTTTTGTCTCCGAGGATCGTCAGCGGAGTGATCAAGATGGTGATGCCACCATCGTTGAATAACAAAGGAATCCAGAATGTGAGTGTCTTGCCAGAGCCTGTAGGTGACAAAGTGACGACATCTCTCTTCTTCAGTTGTGCTTGGGCAGACTGCACTTGCCAATTACAAGGTGTGAAGCCGAACCGTTCATGGACCGTGGTGCGTATGGTAGCTATAGATGGTATATTGTAGTTTAGGGGGGGCAAAGCCATCACTGATGTGTATTGCGGCAAATGAAAATGGCATTGACAAAAATTAAATAACCCTACATAAACTCGGTATCGTCACACTGAGCGTGTCACTCGCACAAGTCAGTCCGAATTGAGTGATAACAGGCAAAATCAACAGAGGCAAACATCGCGCCACCTGCAAGTTTTGCCAGTCGGCTGGGTGTGTAAGTAGCCCCAAAAGTTTCGGTAAATTGTCAGAGAATTAGCATTTGGTTGTATTTGGTCTGTGGCTGTCAGATGTCGGGGGCTCTCTTACACACCCGCCAATGGGTAGGAGTCTGGATTATGTCGTGGTAACCACTTTGGGCAGGACAAAGTTAAGATGAACCTCCGAGGAAACCATCCATGAGTGAATCTTCAAGGAGTGTTCCGATAGGAAAAAACCTCTTTATCGGCAAGTTTCAAACCTGCACAGTCCAAGAGAAACAGATTTCGATTCTGTTCGTAACCACTTGTCTAAGACCAGTTAGATGAACCTCTGACGAAACCATCCATGAGTGAATGTCAAGGTGTGTTCCGAGAGAGAGAGAAAACTTGTCAGCAGGTTCCGGGGCTGCACAATCCAAGAAACGATTTCGAATCCGTTGTGATGACCACTTTGGTTAGTACGCTTCGCAAGTTGACTGCGACGAACTGTCTATGAGTGAATGTCAAGGTATTTGTCGGCAATTTTTGAATCCGCACCACCCAATATTTCTAGAATGATCTGTTCAGTGTTCTGGTGTCAGTTGGCTATGACTGACTTAAAGGATCCATTCGTGAGTGAATTTTTAAGGTGTGATAAAAAGACAAAGGTTGAATTGAGGAGGTTTCGAACCTGCAACAGGTTTCTGTCCTGTCACGCTTATTATAACCGCTTGGCTAAGACTAGTCAACATGGACGTCTGCAGTACGAGTTGAAGAACATCATGCATTGAGAGAATCATAGTCAACGCAAAATGAAATTACCTTGCGGAGCAAGGTCATGATGTTGTTGGGCTAATCTGTCAGTCACCTGACATCAACATCATGCTGTGCAATCACGCGTTTTTGCACCAACCTCACGCGTTCCTGACCAATCATGCATCATGCGTGCCATACCAATCAAGTACAAAATTACAGAGACACCTTTACGCCCCACTGAATACCACTGAACATGTACCATCAACACATTGTCAACACCGATAGGGTTCAATACATCTCTGCTTGGCCAAAGACTGAGTACAACTTGAAGACGCAGTATTGAATGTATTACCGTAGTCCGCGATTCCAAAGCCACATTTGTCTGTTTGACCACGTTTGTGTGTTTGGTTTTGTTGAAGATTCGTACTGATACGACGTTTTAATCAGTGTGTCAAACACGATCAAAAGCTGTTACGACCAAACTGAAGACAACATCGAACAAGCTGAAGACCAACCTAATAAATTGCTTCAAAGAAAGCCTTATCGATTGAATGTATTGCGTATGTCTTTTTGGGTTGGTTGAAGCAGCGCGAAAGAGCGAGGAACAATAAGCGTACACATGTACAAATATCCTTGAGAAATTGCAATCGGAGCAAGGTCATCAGTTCGCACGGCGAACCCCTAGTGAAAAGATTAGTTCGATTCGGACACATACGGGGTCCGCGATATTTATTTACATAAGCAGCGTCCAAAAACGTTTTCTGAATCGCACGCTCAGGCCTCAGGAATCACCTCAAAATCGTCTACTCTGACTGCCACTATTAAATAAAGGAAGCATTTGGCAATGCCGCAATCCCCACTGAGTATCAACAATAGTACCGTTACTATCGCCAAGGTGTATGGATACTCCTGCCAGGGTGTGGTGCATCTGGTTGATGGTTTTTTACTCGACCATCTGGCGACTCCGCATACAGTGATCTCGTCACTAACTTCATCGTTCCCGCAGGGAATATGATTTTACTATCAGCAATCGCCAGACTACATACAGGTGAGTTCTTCTTTGTATTGTTGCTAATAGCTCGTCAGCAATCGTTAGTACCCCAAATCCAGGTGAGCGACTCGGAAGCGAGGAACTCCGACCTACCGTAGTAAGTTGCATGTATCCCATCCTGAACAGCGACGTGTCTGCGTCAATTCCTGTTTTACATGTGAGTTTTTTCTGCACCATTGTCTTATTTGGTTAATGATTTTGTACTCATCTTGGCGAGTCTGTACATGATTTCGTCACTAACATCTTGAATCGCTCGCACAGGGAATACAATTTTATTGTCAGCAATCGCCAGACTACATCCAGCCTGAGGTGAGTATTCTTTTCAAGTATTGTTGCTAATAGCTTATCGTCCTTTGCAGCAGTATCCCTCGCAGTTGTTATGTGACTCGCTGGAGTAATTCCCTGTCTTCGTACGCTTCATCCTCTGAAATATCGTGCCAGATTTGTAATTCGATTTCATGTGTGTAGTATTCTTTGCTTGTCTCGTGTTTCAGACAAATCGTGGTTGGCCATATATTTCTCTTCCAATCGTGTTTCTGACATGTGAAATTTGAATACCATTCAAACTGGAATCTCGCTTGCGTAGGCTTCGGTGCACCCTACCAAAACATTCGAGTGAAACAGGTGAATGGGCAGTTTGCCATCGACAAGCAATATATTCAATAAGCGGTTCTTAGATACACGACAGATCTTCATGGTATCATGGTATCCGTCATCCTTCGAAATATTTGTTTTCTTGGAGTCGGGGATTGGCGCTTCCCAGTGCCGCTACGATTTCTTACCCGATCTTGCGATTCGCCGTTTTTAGGCCACAAAACACTGTTAAGGATACATTGATCCGCAAAGCAAATGTAAGTAACGGCTCTATGAGTCAAAGCCTTTATCAAGTACTAATACACTACCCTATTTCTATCACTTCGAAAGTTGCACAATGCATCAACGTTCTAGTGCTTCTATAACCTTGTGCTAGTATGATTTTAGAGAGAGTCGAAACTCAATAATGCATTTAAAATATACCTTCGGAGTTTTCAAGATCTGCGTGTATAACAAAGTGAGTAAGTAGAACACTCCAAAAACAAGACTAGCACTAGATAATTACCTTCGACCTCGTCGTCAGCCGGACGGTCTATGCGGCATATCTCGTCAGACAAACAAAAATCGAAACGTACACTAAACAAACACAAAGTTGCGCTTCTCGACATCTGTGTCATCAACAGATTAGTATAACTCTTGAAAAGAGGGTCAGCACGAGGCAACTACCTTTAGTCTCGGTCTCAGGGGAGCCTGTAATGACTATGTCGCGACGCGTTTCTTGTTAGAAGAGAAAAACAAGACACTAGATAATTACCTTCGTCATCGGTGTCAGGCGGATAGTCTATGCGGCACCTCCCGTTAGACAAAATACCAGAATACAGTGGAATCGAAACGTTCAGAGACTAAACGAGAATCTGCGTTTCTCGAGATCTGTGTCGTCGACATTCTTGTAAGACGGGTGCGGATACTACAGACGAGTTGAGACATACTCTGCTCGCCCTCACGCTTTTTGACGGCTACGCCGCCAATAAGGTGAGTAAAACATGCGAAAACGATGTCGGTGCTACAAGAGAAATACCTTGGGAGCGCTGTGACACAGCGGGTGCTGCTGCTGCCGTCTGCAGGAGAGCAATGGAGAGACAGAAATCCTTTCATGATTGCTAGATGTCACGGTAAAGTGATTATTGGAGTTTCACTGGGGTGCTGAGTATACTTCGATTCAAGGAATACTGCTTTTACATTGTTGCAAGCTCGATTATCAGACACTTGCAGACTCACTGACTCGGGCCTTTCCGTTTTGTGCATTATTTCGATTTGCATAGGCAATGCATTTTTCCATCTTAAGCTTCAATACATTGAATACAATACACTGCGGTGAAGTGAAGAACTCCGACAATATTACCGTGAGTTATGAGTGACCGCACTGGACAATAACGAAATCAATGTTTTGCATGGAAAGTAGCCATGGTTTGCAAGAGAAAAGTCACGCTTCTGAAAAAAATCACGCTCCAAAAAAAAGTCACGCTTCAAAAAGTCACGCTTCAAAAAAAGTCACGCTTCCAAAAAAAATCACGCTTCCAGAAAATCAGTTGCGATTGAAATAAAACACTTGAAGAAAATCCACCTCTGTGTCCTGTCAGTGCTGTCAGTCTGTCACATGTACGTCACGGATCTTGTTCCCCGACTCCACTTTAGTGGAAGAGGGTTCTGTGTAGGGCTCGGGGAATTAGGGATCCCGCTCTGGTTGACCGGCTAATTAGCACGACCCCTCTGCGAAGACCTAATTGACCGGTGTAAATGACAGCAAATTCACTCAAATTGACCCATAGCTCTTTGACGCTGATTTGCGCTAATTTGCAGGTAAATTTGGTCTAATTGACCGTAATCTACAACAAAGCCGCCAATCACCATTCCTCCCACTCGTCGTCATCCATCGGTGTCGAGGATGAAGTTGTGGCAGCCATCACCTTTGGTGTCGACAGACCTTCGCAAGCAGCCGTGGGCTGTAGAGCGTGGTCCGACAAAATATCGAGGAGGTACGTGGATGATATGTTAATATCTTTACCCACGTCGAACTCAGTGCTTTTCACGCCAGCTAAACCCACATGGTCCGCAATATCACCATTATCAAGCCAATCCCCATCTTCATCATCCGAGTCTGAACATCTGCCTTGATGTTCGTCGGTCAAGCTCGAAATGATGTCCGTGGTCATGGTAGGTGGTCGAGCAGGCGGCGGGACGACAGGCGGTGTCTCAGGTTTACCATGGATGGTTGCATACATATCTCGCCATTTGACAGAAGGAGCGACCGTCGGTGCTACTGGCTGATTAACAGTATGAGTATGTTGGGAGTCCAGCCAACTGAACTTCACTCACATCAGCTTTCCAGCGGTGCCACTGACGAATCTGTATATGTTCTTTTAATGTTGAGATGTCTTGTCTGCTCCGAGTGGGACTGTTAAGCCACGTAATTGTTGAGACTGTCCTCTCGTCGGCCATCGACACTGGGACGACGGAGTATAACTTGATTGCAAGGGCCTGGATATAAGAGTGAGTCAAATAAAAATGTATCGAGCAAATATCATTGTCACCCCAAGAACTCGTGCGTTTTCGTCCTTTTGAACAGCTAACCACCAATCTCAAACGTTCTCATGCTTGCGAATCTTGCGGTTGAAAGGATCCGCTCCTTTGCGATACTCCTTGAGCTCGACCTTCAATGCCTTGACCCGAACTGGTATTTCTTACTGATTTCTTCCGTCTGCTTCAGGTCACAATGATCATACCAATGAGGTCCGTTCCTGGTATATGGTGTCGAAACTGCTAACACATTCTTGCAGCCATCCCATCATATTCCCTACATGTATTCCCTCGCTGGAGCTGCGTCAAAATCCCAATCACGTATTCGCCAGGTTGCAGATTCAAACACAAAGCATCTTCTCCCCGTGAACAGAAAGCTGTGGCGGGCGAGGACGCTGTAGAGCCCTCCACAACCAAGCATGACATCACCGAAACCTCCAACCCCTTACCTGATGCGAATATGAACGGACATCCGTATCCCGAAAAAGCGAGCGTCCGTGGATGTTTCTCCCCCCACCACGCAAGCCGTTGTTGTCAACCCATCCTCCGAAGCTAGCCAAACCAGGCGTGCATCTGAGGATTCCAGCACACACGGGAAATCTATCGACACAAGTAGTACAAAACGCTCTTCTACTACCGACGAGGAAGGTTACGCCGGTGACGCGACATGGGAGGATCGTATGTGGAAAGAAATCGTACGTCTGAAAGAAGACATGTTCTGGGCGCGCGTTGGGGGCGTGCAATGATACTATCTGAGCACATTTGGATTCTTGATAGGCCATCCAGGCTTGTAATTGTACATGTATCCTACACCAAATCATATAACAACATCTTCCCACCACTGCTCCCTTTGTGCAACTCGCCTACGCATGCCTGCAATTGCACGAGCCCTTAGCATATCCCTTTTCCTTGCAGTAAGATGGTTTCCTGTAGACAAGGCACCTCCACGAAGGTGCTTTGCTTGCTGAATAACAGAGGCAGCTGGTGCCATGGTGCCATGAAGGTGGCTGGAATCAAACCACCTATTGTAATTCAGTATAGATCAAAATGGATAAAATACAATGCTCACCAAACTGTATTTGCTCGAGTTTGCATGTATGCACCCCATTCAGTGTAACAAAAGTTCCACTCATCAGCAGTTCCTGCCTTGTCCAATTGAGAACAAATGGACCAGGAGGCATCATGGTCAAAGTGCTGAGGGCTAAGATAATTGGAGCAGTAGAAAATATTGGCACCACTGGTACCAAGACGATTCATTTCAGCAGCTGCACTCTTCTCCTTGATATCCTTGGCTACATGAGGAGCAGCATACTTCACACTTTGAAGAAGTGCACCAGCATCCTAAATAGCAGTCAGTGTATATTCAACAACAATTAAAAATTACATACACGTGCATGACGAAATATAGGATGAATATGCTCTTCAGAGTCACCACATAAAAGGGGGTATGTGCTATACCCATCACCACGACGGCCACCCTTGGCTAGCCGTGATCCAACAGGCACCATTTTACCTGTGTAAGCCCATTTCTGAAAAACCTCACCTTGTTGTACACTAGGATTGTGTACAATAGCTTTGTGATTTTCACACATCTCTTGAAGGCTGGCATCATTGAAGGCATTAAAGATAACACCTCCAACCTACATACAACTGAGAGTTATCCAAATAATCATAATAAATCACTTACACATTTACCAGTTTCAACATCAATCATTTGTACAATGTCGCGCTTGCAGCAAGCATATACTTCAGGACGGAATGCCATACATTGCAGATGCAAATCATTGTGAGGGTGCACATAGTGAGGGTCATCTGCTTGACCCTCCTTGAGCTTTGAATAAAAAAATTAATACAAAATTAATATGAGAATGTTTACTCACATTAAGGGGAAGACAGTCATCAGAAGGGGCACAGGTGACCAAGGATTCAAACAGGTCTTGGACATCAGTCCGTCTTTTAACATTAAGAAGCAAGACACAGTGTTCAGAAGAAGGTAGAGCTGAGCATTGATCACAAGATGAGCGAGTGTAGGAAGTGGAGTGAGAAGAATCTGGAATGGAAGGAGGAGGTGGTGGAGATTCAGACTGTGGAGGAGCAGAGTCTCGAACAGAGCGGGATGGGTTACATCTCTGATGTTCAGAAGAAATATTCTTCTGAAGCTGCTCTGGAACTTTAGTATCCCTCCCAAATGCCTCACGCTGTATACATTTCAAAAATGCCCTGGATGCAATGGTCTCTTCAATGATGCAGCGCAACTGAGTAGATTGGAATTTAGTAGGGTCAAATTTTGTCTCAGAGACCACCTCAGATAAGATCTTGTGATAAAGCTTGGCAGGGTCAAAATCAATCTAGTGACACATGATTAGATAAAAATCATTAATGATAAAATAATAAACTTTCCTTATGCCCATGCTTCTCAAGAGTAGTGTAAAGCCAGGTGTTACATGCAGCAATAAATGCTGCCTCATCCAGAAGAAAACCAACACATGAAGGTTGACTGGCAGCAGGAATGGCTCTACCTTGCTGATCAATATTATCGAGCCATTCCATAACCAGCTTACCAAGAAACCGCCCACCAGTATTTTTCAGGGACTTGGGCTGGTGCCAGTTAGTGAGATGAATCTAATTAACAAAACATATGTACCTCTGGTGGAGGGTCTCTGAAAGCACTTGAATTGGTCCATTGATGCAACATTAGACCAAAACTTGCTGCCCATTGATATTTACATGAACTTGCTGCAAGATGATCAGCAGATAGCTCAAGCACAGTATCTGGTGCACAGATTGTGCAGAGTAGCTGGTAGAGGGAAGATTTCTATTGGTAATAAATTAGATGGATGATATCAAATCAGTAAATCACATACCTTGACCTCAATTGGCCAAAATTTAGATTGATATGTAGAAGCCCCTATCAGGCAGATCGTAACGAGAGTGTCAACTGCCTTTGCTTCTGCAAGCTGAAGCTGAGTTGGCTGTTGGCATATGTTAATCACTTGATTAAAATTGAATTAAAGACTTTACAGTTAAGTCCTGGTATTTGAAAAAATACAACTGAATAGCCTCTGCCCACTCTCTGCACTTGATGGGTGCATCATTGGCAGTGAATTCTAAATCAATCAACATTAATTTAAATATCAGAAAACAGCCAAAACTTATGAAGCTTTGATTTGTGAGGCTTTGAAACATCATGGGACTCAGCCTGCTTCACAACAACAGATGGTGAATCTTCCCACTCAGAAGAATTATCCTCGCTATCAGAATCCATATCCATCAAAACCTGGGATGCCTTGGGTTGAGGATGAAGCTAAATAATTTAATTATTGTGAAAATATGTATTTAATTATTGATTGAGCTACTCACCTCTTTTTGGAGGATCCTATCTAGGCCCTCTCGTAACATCTTTCTTGCAGCCAGATCCCCCCTTTCCTTATCTCGATAATGTTCATATAAGACCCGAACAAATAGCGAAGGGGTATCATCCAAAGATGGGATGGTACCAATGGTGACAAGGCACCAAGAACTGATCAGGACACACTAACAGCAACAGGTGATCAATATGTGTATATATGATAAGATTTGTGCTTACCCAAGATGGATCTTCCTTGATCACACTGATGGTGTCTTGAAGCATAGATTCAACTTGCTTCCTTGAAAGGCGTATTTCTTCAAGGCTCTTGAAATTCTGTCTGATTGGCTCCTTCTGCCATAAGTTGCAGTCATCATCATGCAAAACAGGCTGGTATTTAGCAGGTAACATTGTGTAAATGTTGTGTATAGTTTCGAGTGTGAGGGTAGCAGACAAATTGACTGTGGCTGTGTTGTTACTACTTCGGACGAGTACTCATATGGAACAAGTATAATATTATTGACGAGTACCTACAACATTAATACTGCTACATAGACATACTCCTCTACTCTGAGCGCCCGTGCATTTATGCCAGTTGAATGCTCCATCTCCCTCATGATACTGACAGACTGCTTGTGGTTGTGCGAGCGGTCATCGAGATATAGGGTCCAATCTACTCAGTAGAAGAGAACAATTCTAGGAGCGAGGAACTCCTGGACGGTCCATCCTCGCATGTTCCAAATGCTGTTTGCGAGCGCACCAGACTCTGATCAAGGAAGAACATCTGATAGGTAGACGATGGTGATGGCCGAGTAGTGATACCAGATGAACATGGAATTGACTGATTCTCCGGGCTCGACATTGTTGTTCTGATCGATGCAGCACGTATCGACCCACGCCCAGCGATGCCCCGCGTCACGAGCGACTTGACAGAACTTCTCTGCAAAAATTGTAAATCACCTTCAAGTCGGCGCTTATGTTATTTGGGGCTTACGTCGTATCCGTTAGTCGAGTGTATCATTCAACTTGGAGAGCATGATTGTTAAGGCTTCGAATGCATCATAATGGCGATGTGCTCCATGAAGCGCTGCGTGCTTTAGTTCGTACCCGAGATAAGACGAAGGGTTGAGCTCAATGACCTGCGAATATCATCAGATTTGTCAAATCGATAACGGATATCGTCCACACCTTTTCCGCGTCCGAAAGGGCCTCCGCATAGAGCTTTAGGCCCAACTTCACCTTACTGTGACGCGCAAAGTATAAGTAATCCATCCCGAATGCTGCAGAAAGTGTGTTCTTGGTGAGCTGTTCTCCGTTGGGAGAAATGGTGATGCAGCAAACACGTACGGTGTGTTTGAGTGGCTTGTCCTAATCATGACCAGAGCCATGTGCATAACATGCCGGTGCTCAGCACAGCTGCACCGACAATAGAAACAACTGAAAGTGAATTCCTCAGGCTGGCACCAGTGTTCCCCTTGCTCGTACTCCCAAGCTCCCATGTGGCTCCTGACATCCCATTCGAGGTTGCCAGCACACTCGGGTCAATCCTCGCTGTGTTCACTGTCTTCGTGACCGCCGTGGTAGAGAATGTCTGGGTCGAGGGGTTCCCTGACTCTGCATATGCGTTGGAGGAGAGGAAGACAAGTGCGGCGCCAGGGGCGGGGACAGTCACTTGACATGTATTGGATGACTGGTCTGCGTACAGCAGCCATACTAACCCGTGGCATATGGATCCGGCACTTCAGCCACTGATTGCTTCAAAATTATGTAAGTCGACCGTTCTTCTCTTTAAATATCATATCACCCCATCCCCATTTCACTCCCCCCCTCTTTTTCATTCTCTCATTCATGTTATTATTCTTATTATTACTTTGACGCTGACATATAATTTGCTGTATAATGTCTACAGGTCCATGTCTTCATTGTTTGGATGATTGCACTGCATTCATCCCAAGGATCGAAGGAGATGATTTGGTATGTGTTCCACCTATCTTCAGCCCAAACTCTTCAATTGACTACTCCACAGTCTCCTTGCCTCTGCTCTCACTCTGCCTCACTTACATCAAGCTCCTGAAGTTAGACGAATTCTTCCTGCCCGAGCTGGCCTGCCTGCTCGTCAATGCTTTGCATTCCGAACTATCAATGGCATTCCGGTGCGTATTCTTGATGATCAATTACATGGCCTTATATAACATGATCCATAGATCACAGATTTTTACCAAGACTGTCAATGTGGTGGGCGATACAATCAGCATCTCCCACTATCTGCAAGGTAAGCAGTACATTTAACCTTGGAGTCAGGTTTAAGTTAGCGTCTATCCATAGTCATATCACGCCTTCATTGAATCGGTCTATTCCGCTACCTCCTGTGTAAGTCTGTCAGTCACTCCAATGGTTCAGGATGCTTAATTATCTGCAGACAAGCGCTGTGATCCAATATTGACAGACATGTTACTGTTCCCACCCAACCAGGTGGTTCAAGCGCATATAGTCATCAAATAGGTCCACTTATTACTGGCAGGCCTTCGGGATCTGCTAATGCTCCTCCGCTCCCTCCGATGCCTACATACCAACCATTATCTCTCATCACATCATATACTCGCCATGCTCCTCCTTCTAGTGTTCCACTTCCAGGCCCGCCTTTACATACCCTAAACAGTAGTAGCCGGCCGCGTGGGAAACCGAAACCGTACTCATACTTCCCGAAAGCCCTATGATGTCTCTCGCCTCCAAAAGTCCTCAAGGAGCAAACTTTAGCCATAGAGCTTGTTATGTATCCCCATGACGTAGGTCTCTTTCCTCCATGAAACATTTGGGATCTTAAAATGTTTTTGACAGTTTCTGCCTTTACGTTCTCATACTAATGATGCTCTCCTATATGAGCCCATCACCATACCATGTCCAGATCGCCTGCCTTCTGGGGAAACCTTTGCATCCCAACTTCGATTTCTTTCACAACAGCACTGCACCTATCGCCTTGAACTTCATGCATCCAGTCCAAGTGACATTATTATCGATCAAATATATACTGGTGTCCATGCTATGATGCAACTTGGATCGCTCGAGTTTCCCACGTACTCTGACATGGAATTCGACTTGGATGCAGATGAAGAAAATCGTGATATTCGAGTCCAATATGCCCGCCCCCTTTTCGCCTCCTGACACCTGGTAATCGTAGCAGGTATCCAGGTCGACCACTGAGTGTAGACACCGAAAATTCTTGGCGGCGCTACACCTTTGCTGCTCTGAGCAAATTAGCAAAGCGAGTGGACCATCCCTCTGGCCAAGTTGGTGTGCTTTTGCTGTGTATGTTGTTACCACATGCTCTTTCACTATCTCTAACGTTATATGCTAGGTCCTAAAGAGGGCGCTATTATCGGACCTATCTCATCTGGCAGCACTGAGAAGCATGCATGTTTTGCAGATCGCATTCACTACTTTCTGGAAAGGGGCGAACCATGCTCTCACATGTCCTGTTATCTTGCATGTCCACGTGCTTTCCAGTCCCGCCATTCTCGGTCAGGTTCTATCATCAGCGTGGGCACAGATGATGATTTGGATGATCGTTCAAGTAATACAGAATCTTCTCGCCCATCCCCTATCGACCTTACAGACTCTCCAATCATAATTCCGAACTCGCTTCCAGAACCTGCAACTCACTCCCCAACCCTCGTATCCCCTGCTCTGCATAATCTCGATATTACCTACCAGCACCTCTTACAACTCTCTCGAATCCCCTGCTCTGCATAATGTCGATATTA